GTACAGGAGATCACCAGAGACTGCAGACATACAACGGCAGTGGGAATACTGGGCCGGCCGCTCCATAAGACGCACAGACATTTCCCCTCAAGTGTGTCTTATGGAGCGAAATAGTGCCCCATCATTGATTTCAGTGGGAGGAATAGTGCCCCATCATTGGTGTCAGTGGGAAGAATCGTGCCCCATCATTAGTGTCAGTGGCAGGAATAGAGCCCCATCATTGGTGTCAGTGGGAGGAATAGTGCCCCATCATTGGTGTCAGTGGGAGGAATAGTGCCCCATCATTGGTGTCAGTGGGAAGAATCGTGCCCCATCATTAGTGTCAGTGGGAGGAATAGTGCCCCATCATTGGTGACAGTGGGAAGAACCGTGCCCCATCATTGGTGTCAGTGGGAAGAACCGTGCCCCATCATTGGTGTCAGTGGGAAGAATAGTGCCCCATCATTGGTGTCAGTGGGAAGAATCGTGCCCCATCATTGGTGTCAGTGGGAGGAATAGTACCCCATCATTGGTGTCAGTTCGAGGAATAGTGCCCCATCATTAGTGTCAGTGGGGGGAGGAATAGTGCCCCATTATTGGTGTCAGTGGGGGGAGGAATAGTGCCCCATTATTGGTGTCAGTGGGGGGAGGAATAGTGCCCCATCGTTGGTGTCATTGTGGGGGGGGAATAGTGCCCCATCGTTGGTGTCATTGTGGGGGGGGAATAGTGCCCCGTCATTGGTGTCAGTGGGGGAAGGGATAGTGTCCCAACATTGGTGTCAGTGGGAGGAATAGTGTCCCATCATTGGTGTCAGTGGGAAGAATAGTGCCCCATCTTTGGTGTCAGTGGGAGGAATAGTACGTCAATATTGTCAGTGGGGGGGGATAGTGCTCCGTCACTTGTGTCAGTGGGAGGAATAGTACGTCATTGGTGTCAGTGGGGGGGAATAGTGCCCCATCGTTGGTGTCAGTGGGAGGAATAGTGCCCCATCTTTGGTGTCAGTGGGAGGAATAGTACGTCATTGGGTCAGTGGAGGGGAATAGTGCCCCGTCATTAGTGTCAGTGGGGGGGGGGATAGTGTCCCAACATTGGTGTCAGTGGGAGGAATAGTGCCCCATCGTTGGTGTCAGTGGGGGAAGGAATAGTGTTCCATCATTGTTGTCAGTGGAGGAATAATGTCCCCATCATTAGTATCAGTGACACCAATGATGGGGTACTATTCCTCCCACTGACACCAATGACACGTAACGTGCTGACCCCTGCTCCAGCCTAGGTGCTACTGCAGCCAGCATACCTGGTTGCAGCAGCACCATCTGCACGGCACACTTACCTGTCAGCTGTCCTTCTTCACTCTGGCCTCTCTCTCACTCGATGTTCGCAGGGCCGTTCGCTCCGCCTCCTCGCAGGTGATTGGCCGCCTGTGTGCCTTTCCTGAGCTACAGTTCTGGCGACCAATCACCGGTGAGGAGGCGGAGCTGAGCAGCAGGAGTGAGGGGAGTGGCCGGAGTGAATGAAGGAGCAGCGCTTCCTGGACTGGATCATCGTGGGACTGGGACCGGAGCCAGGTAAGGTACAGCAGCCCCCTGCCCGCCCCTGTACTTAGTGTCCCTTGCTGTCCCACCCCTGCCGGCGGGCCGGATAAATGGCCTCGGCGGGCCTCATGTGGCCCGCGGGCCGTAGTTTGAGGACCCCTGGTTTACATAATAGCATATAAAAGAAAATCTATTTACATATGTAGGAGCCATGATTGTGCATACAAATTGGTTACCACACAGGAATGGCCTCAGGACCAGCTCCCGGCCCAGAATGTCGGCATCACATTTGTGGAAGGACATTTGCATGCTCCAGGGACATAAGAACAAAAGTTCAGTTCCTTGGCCAAAAGTAAACACAGCAGCTGGAGGCAGGTGACACTTACCAAACTCAAAAAACACCAAACAGAGGTGTCAATTGTATGTATTTATTCATGCCACTGACTACTTCTGCCTCAGGACTGAAGAGGAGGCACCACTGCTGGCTATGTTTGCCAGAGCCTTCTGCAAAGCAGAGAGGAGGGACGCACATGGCATGGCTTTTTTGGACCATGTGCATACCTGCAGGATGTCCTTTACAGGTTTCGCTTAGGGCAAGAAGCAATTATATGCCTCTATGAGCTCATCCCTGCCCTGAAGGAGCTTACATTCATGCTAGTGCCAAATAACCTATCAGAGTGTCTTTGGGGGTGGGAGGAAACCCAAACAGGAACAGAGAAACCATGCCAACTACTGGCACATGGTTTAGACATTAGACATTAAAAATTACTTGTCATATAACAGAGATATAACGATCATGGATTTGAAGGGGAACCCCATAACCAAAAAAAAAAAAAGTGTGGCTTCCCCCCAAAATCACTAAAACACTACCATACAATCCTGCAGGCTAGAAAAGGAGGGGTAGAAGAGCAACCCCGCCCCCACATACACACTTTTTATTTGTAATGTCAGCTGTTTTGTCTACATTACGGGAAACTTTCTAAAATGTACCAGATTGCAAAAATCACATATATAAACATGCATTTTCATTAGTTCGGATACTTTTATATCGCCGTCAATTTACACAGCACTTTACATACATATTGTACATTCACATCCGGCACTGCCTTCAAGGAGCGTACAATCTAAAGTCCCTAACTCACATTCATATAATAGGGACAATTTAGCCAGGAGCCAAAACAAATGCCAGCATGTGAGGGAAACCCTCACAAGCAGAACATGCAAACTCCTTGCCTTTAGTACCATGGTTGGGATCTGAACTGGCAACCCTAGTGCTGCTAGGCAGGAGGGCTAACCACTAAGCCACAATGCTAACAGCAATGCTATCTAGCATATATAGAAGTACCACGAGTCAAGAATTAAGATACTGTATATACTTATAAGTAAATATTATAAGAAAATTCAAATTTGACATAAAAAATTATTTGTCATACAACAGAGATAACTATAATGATTAGATATACTGTATATTTAACATTAGAAAATAGTATGCATTACTCTGTAACATTCATTAAAAAATGCATTTATTTGCAGAACATATAAAAAAACACTACAAAACAAGAAAGATAATTAATAATAAAATTAGCATCAAAAGAAAGCAAACAACAAATCACACCAGCCAATTGTTTCTAGAAAGAAATGGAAAATCTCTAGGGACCACGTTTAGAATTACCTCTTTTGTAAACATGACTATTCCAATTTGACATTTACCAAAAGACATTTTCCTATGTGAAGACATTTTTCTGTTCACCACGGCAAGGTTTTAATTGTTTTAATTATATGAAGTTTGGTGTCTAACTTCTATTGCTTCATCTTTTTCTTAGTAAATCAGCCCATATATGTCTTTCTTGAAGGAAAGTGTTCACGGCTTTTTGTCCTATGACAAGATGCATTATCATGTCATCATCACCAAACATCCTTTCAATTGATCGAAATCTCAGTATAAATGACTGTCAGCTCCCTCGTACCTTTACCTGGCATGCAACCCCATATCATCAATGATTGTGGAAATTTGCATGTTTTTTTCAGGCAGTCGTCTTTATACATTTCATTGGAATGGCACCAAATAAACGTTCTGGCATCATCACCCTGCTCAATGCAGATTTGTGATTCATCACTGAATATCACATTCACCCAGTCATCCACAGTCCATGATTGCTTTTCTTTAGCCCACTGTAACCTTGTTTTTTTCAGTTTAGGTGTTAATGGTGGTTTTCCTTTGGCTTTTCTGTATGTAAATCCGATTTCCTTTAGGGGATGTCTTACAGTTCGGTCACAGACATTGACTCCAGTTTCTGCCATTTGTTCCTCATTTGTTTTGTTATGCATTTTCTATTTTCAAGGCATAGTGTTTTAAGTTTTCTATCTTGATGCTTTGATGTCTTCCTTGGTCTACCAGTACGCTTCCCTTTTACAACCATCCCATTTGATTTGTACTTGGTCCAGATTTTAGACACAGCTGACTGGGAAACACCAATCATTCCGTGATGATTTAAATTCTTGAAGAAGTTTTATAATCCTCTCCTTTGTTTCATTTGACAACTGTGTTGGAGCCATGATTCATGTCAATCAGCTTGGTGCAACAGCTCACCAAGGTGTGCATGTGCAAGAACTATTTTTTACCTGCAGACTAGCAGATGTAATCTGATGCAGATGTTTGTTTTAGAACTGCAAAGTACATTGTAATTCTATAATATTTTCCTCAGAATTGAGTGATTCCATATTTTTTTCCTCTGCTTGACCTGCAAAAACAGTTGCAATTGACTACAGTTTTTTTTCTTTTTAATTTTTTTAAGTGTTTTCTAAAGCCGGAAGGTTGGAATGTAAATGAAAATAGTTTTGAGGCATTTCTGAGATTGTTTTTTTTTCTACATAATTAAACAATTGAATGAATATTTTCCAAGAGTGGTGATTCCATACTTTTTGCCAGGGGTTGTATTGCCAATACCACCTTTAACCACTTGCCTACGAGGCACTTATACCCCCTTCCTTACCAGGCCAATTTTCAGCTTTCAGCGCTGCCGCACTTTGATTGACAATTGCGCGGTCATGCAACATTGTACCCATATGAAATTTTGATCATTTTTTTCTCACAAATAGAGCTTTCTTTTGGTGGTATTTAATCGCCACTGGGCACTTTACTTTTTGCGCTATAAATAAAAAAGTGCAAAAAATTAAAAAAAAAGTTTCTTTGTTTCTATTATAAAATTTTTCAAAATTTTTTCTCCTTCACTGATGTGCGTTGATGAGGCAGCACTGATGGGCACTGATAGGCGGCACTGATGGGCACTGATAGGCAGCACTAAAGGGCACTGATGGGCAGTACTAATGAGGTGGCACGGATAGGCGGCACTGATAGACAGCACTAATGAGGTGTCACGGATAGGCGGCACTAATATGCAGCACTGATAGGCGGCACTGATAGGTGACACTGATGATGGGTACTGATAGACGGCACTGACTGGCATCACTGCTGGGCACTGACTGGCAGCACTGACTGGCACAACCCCTGGGCACTGACTGGTGGCACTGACTGGCAGCACTGCTGGGCTGCACTGGTGGGTGGCACTGGTGGGCAGCACTGGTGGGCGGGCACTGGTGGGTGGGCACAGGTGGGTGGCACTGGTGGGCACAGGTGGGTGGCACTGCTGGGCACATGTAGGTGGCACTTCTGGGCACAGGTAGGTGGCACTGCAGAGTGGCACAGGTGGGTGCACTGCTGGGCACAGGTGGGTGCACTGCTGGGCACAGGTGGGTGATCTGCTGGGCACAGGTGGGCGGAGCTAGTGGGCGCACTGCTGGGTACAGGTGGGCGGAACTTGCGGGTGGCACTGCTGGGCACCTATCATCAGGGCACTGATCATCAGTGCCCTGATCAGTGCCCTGATGATCGGTGCCGATCCCCGCTCTGACAACTGCCGGTTCTCGGCAGTACTTTCCTCACGATCTGACAGCGTGAGGAAAGTGCAGCCGAGAACCGGCACTTGCGTTTCCCTCTGATCAGCGTGTCATTGGACACCGCTGATCAGGTGGTAAAAGGCCGCTGTGATTGGCCTTTTACCACATTACGTGATCAGCTGTGTCCGTAGGACACAGCGATCACAGAGATTGCCGGGTGCGCGCCCCCTGGGGCGCGCAGGAGAGCGCGTTCTGGGGGGACGTCATATGTTGTCCACCCAGAACTGGCCGGCCGCAGTGAAGCCGTCATTCGGCTATCTGCGGTCGGCAGGTAGTTAATAAATGTTCTCATATATGGCATGGATATGGAGACAGCATGACATGGTTTGGGGGACAACAGTTAATAGATGGTATTAGAGTGAAAATATTGCATGAACCTAATGTTTGTTATATAGGGAATGTTAAAGAACAGAAGATGGGGAATAATACTAACTGAAAAAACATAATTATGTGAAATATCTGCAGTCAGTAACTTACACTATAATTTATACTGGCAATGTGGTGAAAATGCTTATTCTAAATTACCAGATAATTGGATTTTGTGCTATGATAAAACTGTACGGTCACACCCTTATTATTCCAGTAGATAGATGGGATATAGGAACAAAAGGTACACATTTGACAAGGGGGTACTGTTGAATAGGCAGTGTAGAGGCAATTACTTTGTAGATAAGCCTGAAGTATCTTATGAGTATTTTCTGACACTGAAACATTTTTTTCTACTGCATTTTTTAGTGGTGCATTCCAAATCCAGACAAATGCAAGATGAATTCAGAAGACAAGATACAACTTACTACAATTGCTAAATGCAAAATTAATGGACGGTGGGATGGGTATAGATGGGGGTAGGGTTATGGCAGATGATAGGAAGGTTCCCAGGTTACAAACAATCATTGGAAATGATAGTACTTTTGTACAACTAAAAAAAGATATGCAAAAAACAAGAGCAAAATTTGATAATGAATTAAAGTGTTTGTTCATCAATGCAAAAAGTCTACCAAGCAAAATAGGAGGGTTGGAAGCTTTGGTGCATGAAAAGAACTATGATTTAATTGTTCATGCTGAATCTTGGCTTCATTCTTCACGATTGGGCTATTAATTTTCCTGGCTATGCTCTCTTTCAGAGAAACAGGATAAAATGTAAAGGTGGCGGTGTTTGTCTCTATGAGAGAAGTGATCTCAAAGAGAGTGTGAAAGAGGACCTAGTTCATGGAGAGTGTGATGAGGTTGAAGCACTATGGGTAGGACTGCATACAAATGTGCGTAGTTCAAACTTAATCATTGGCATTTGTTACAGGCCACCCAGTCTTAATAGGGAGGTGGAGACTCAGATCATTGCACAGATGGGCTGCAAGGGTTGAGACAGTGATAATAATTCTAACTACCCTGATATTAACTGAAGCAATGGCACTGCAGGAACAGTTAAAGGGCAAAAAATGTATAAACTTACAAGACAATTTTATGGTACAGTTCATAGAGACCTCAACTAGAAATAATGCTTTGCTGGACCTGGTAATCTCAAACCATGCACAGTTTATTACTAATGTTCATATAAAAGAACAACTGAGTAGCAGTGACCATAACATGATTTCATTTTAATGAAAGCTGTAAGCAACAAACATACTGGAAAGAAAAAAACACTTAAGATAAAGAGAGAAAATTTTCCCAAGAATGATGGCTGCTCTCCAAGACTTAGAATGGGAGGGAATATTTCCATCGATGAACACAGAACAGAAATGGGAGTTCTTCAAAAAGACTGTATGTGAACACACTACAAAATATATTCCCATGGGCAACAAGTTTAAAAGTCTAAAAATCAAACCTATGTGGTTTCTGGCAAAAGTTAAAAAAGCTATAGATAATAAGAAAAGAGCTTTTGTTAAATATAAAAATGAAGGAACGCTATCATCATTTAAACATTACAAAGAATATAACAGAACATGCAAAAAGGAAATAAAGGCTGCAAAAATTGAAAATGAACGACAGATTGCAAAAGATATCAGGACCAACCCCTAAAACTTCTTCAAATTTATTATTAGTAAAAAGGTCCGGTCCGAGCATGTAGGCCCTTTACAAAATAATCTAGAGTGGATGACTGGGGACAAAGAGAAGGCAAATTTATTAAATACCTAATTCAGCTCTGTGCATACAAAGGAGCATGGGGGAGTTCTTGTAAATAATGGGCATGGTATTGACACAGCTCCAGGTGATCCACATTGGCTCACAATTGATATGATCCAAAAATATTTAGACAGAATAAAGGTGAATAAAGCAACTGGACTGGATGGCATACACCCACAGGTCCTTAAAGAATTGAGCTCTGTCATTTCAAAGCCATTGTTTCTAATTTTTAGGAACTCTTTAATGACTGGCATTGTACCGTTGGACCAGTGTAAGGTGCCTATATTTAAAAAGGGATCAAAGTCTTTACCAAGTAACTATAGACCTGTTAATTAAACTTCTATAGTTGGAAAGATACCAGAGAGTTTAATAAAAGACCACATAGATTAGTTTAGCTAATAAAAAATATTTTAAGCAACAGACAGCATGGATTCATGAAAGACAGAAGTTGTCAAACAAATCTGATTTCTTTTTGTGAGGAGGTAAGCAAAACTTTAGATAAAGGCATGGCTGTGGATATAGTATACTTAGATTTTGCAAAAGCGTTTGACACAGTTGCCCACTGACAGCTAATAGGTAAGGTAGAGTCTACAGGCTTGGAAAAATCAGTTTGCCAATGGAGAGAAAACTGGCTAAAAGACTGTATTCAGAGAGTATTGGTTAATAATTCATACACTGAATGGTCAAAGGTTATTGTTGGTGTACCCCAAGCTACATGTTCAGTGGCTGCTTCTGATATTCTTCACTTTTATACTGGTTTGGGGAGTACACGGCCGTCATCCTGCTCAGCAAACCTCTCCCACCAGCTGGGGAACCCTGTCCCACTGTTTTTATGCTGTCCCGATGGACTCCAGCCAAGAAACAAGCCTACGGTGGAACCTGAAGCTTTCTTCCTTCAACACATGGCACAGTCATCTTGTCCTCTCATTGTCACGTACCTGATAGGAGACTGAAATGACAAGGTCGGCCTCACTTGTGTCACTAGTCCTGACCCCACTGGAGGTGGAACAGAGAGTGTCTAGGGACCAGGGGGACAAGAGCGCCAGTAGATGTTGTTTGCAGCTCTTGCAGTTGGTGACCTTGGAAGACTGATGAACCTCCGATTCAGGCACAGTAGTAATATGCAGAGCTGGTATGGTAGACCGCTAGGTGTGCACCAGAGCAAGGGAGGAAGAGGGGGTAAGAGACAGGAGCAGTGTCATAAGAATAGCCAGGGTCATCAACAGGCAGACAGCGAGGTACCAAATCAGAAGCAAGCCAAAGTCAGGAGCACAGTCGAAGTCAGGAACCAGTATCAAGCAGGAGAGTAATCAGAGTCAGGTCAGGAAAAACCGGATCAGCAACAAGGAAATCACACAGGAACGAGCAGGAAACGGGGAACAGCTGAAGACCAGTCAGCACTCAGCACAGGCAGAGGCACCCTTTAAATATTCCGTCTGGCGCCAATCTTCGCCGTGCGTATGCACGATCAAGCATTTTCCGTGCATGTGCGCACAACTGATCACTCTTCTCCGGACACTTCTATGCGCATGCGCCTTTCTATTTGCAAATTGTCTCACTGGGAATCCCTTACACTTATGTGCTGCCGGGACACTCAGTGCAGACTGATTCGGGAGAGCGCTGGCAATAGCTTCTGAGGCAGGAGAGCACGATCTTCACTCTCCTGCACCGGCTCCACCTGAGGACTCGGCTACCTCAGTGATCCTGCCAGAAAGTAAAAGATCTCTCATGACAAAAATAGATCCCCTGGCGCTGGAGTGTGGGCTTATCAGACATGATTTAGGTAAAATCTGATGCCGCCTCAGCACAGCTGAGACCCACATATCTGCAGTGGAAGACAATACCTCATACCACATGCCCACACTCTGTTGGATCTGCAGCATACTGTAATTCTCCTAATGGCACGCTTAGAGGATGCCGAAAAAAAAATTGCTTTGTTACAATGTGCTGGTGGTCGGCCTGCCAGAAAGGTGTGGAAGGGAATAATACTACTGTTTTCGATGAAAATTTCTTTAAACAAGTGCTTAACCTGCAAAGGGTCTCCCCGGCCTATCAGTTGGAGCAGGTGCACAGAGTCCCTACTGGATCCAGAACCCGGGGAACCCACCACGCTTCTTTCAAGTCCGCTTTTTGAATTTCCAGGATCAAGATCTAATTTTGGCTGAAGCAAGGAAACAACAAACCCTGAGGTATGAAAATGCTTTCCTTCACTTCTTTCCGAATTTCTCACTTGAGCTACAAAAATAACGCAGATCCTTTGTGGATTTGAGAAAGAGGCTCCATGAAAAGGGACTTCAGTACAGTATGTAACAACCTGTGTTGATCTTGCCTTTTTTTTAGTTCCGTTTTTGAGTGCCACACGCTCCTGTGTTATACCAGTTCATGGCGATAAAGCTTCTTTGGCAAGTTGGATCATTTTGGCCAGAGAAAAAGGGATGATGTTTGCCAAAATGTTTGGGGTTTTGCATTTTTTCTTACTTCTTTTTCTTTTTTTTTTCCCTTTTTTTCTGTTTTAAAGGAAACCATCTTGTCTGATGTGCCTGTGAAGTTGGTGGCATGGCCTGCATTATTAAATTTAAACCTCCCTACAAGCTTAAATGTAAACATGAACAAGAAAGCGAGCACTAAAAAAATTCAAAGCTGCTGTTACACGAAAAGGTAACCAAAATAAACCTTCCAAAGTCACTAGTAAATAATAAGTGCAGCGCTAAAAAGACCTGAATATCTCTAAAACTGATACGTGATAAAGTGCAAACATA